TCTAGTGTATTCTGCATAATATTATGTCCATTTTTTGTTAAATATTGTATATCATTACTATGGCAGTAATAGATTTTATACGGATTTTTGTTAAATAATGAAATATAATTCAAAATCATAATTTAATAAGTATTAAAATAACAATATTTGCAAGTTTGTATAGGTATTAAAGTTAAAAAATATCATTCTACCATTCAAATATCAAATACCATTCGATTGATATAAAGGTCTACAAATTCTGAAATTATATGAATTTGTGTCATGCACTAATGGCGCAGCTTATTCAGTACCAGCTGGCCATCTTCGCATGTTTTTTGGATATCCGCGCCTGCCGGATGACGCGTAATAAGAGCACCATTTAACAAAGGTTCAATGCAGCTTAGAACCCTACTTATTACATAAGGTAATTAAATATCTAGGTATGTACGTAGATTCTATAGCATTACAGCTAACAACAACACTTACTGACAACCCGGTGGCAGAAAAAATGGACACAGGGAACCTATGGAAGATGGACGTTCAGACTGATTCCAAATATGAAGAAGTGGTTGGATTGACCCCGTGGTGAGGTAGACTACTATCTCACCCACGCATTATCGGGACATGGTTGCTTTGGAAAGTATCCATATATGAGAGGTAAAACAAACTCCCCTGTGTGCAGCCAATGCCAGGAAGAAGAGGAAGTAGAACATTCTCTGTTCAAGTGTCTCCGATGGAAGGATAGAAGAAGATAATACTTTAGAACAACAGGAAGAATATTTGATATTGATGAGGTAGTAGAAAGACTGGTAGAAACTGAACAAGAATATCAGGATGTGAGAAACATAATGAGGGACATAGTGAGAGAGAAAGGGACCAACAACACCTTTAAAGTAGTCTACCTCGACAACTAAACACCTGTCGTGGTGTCTTATGCAAGATTTTTCCCCTCCAAAAAAAGATTTTTCCCCCCCAAAAAATATATACGTAGATTCAAATCTAAAAAGATATTTAAAAATATAAACAACTTTTAAATCGAAGGTCTCAATGATTCCAGATCATTCGGTCCGTACCACTCATTTCCACCAAATCAGTCATCCGTTCTACAAGATTGGCAAAAAAATTTACTCTTAGGCATTACGAAGTTAGCCGAATCAAGTAGTTTAAAACATTTTATTTAAATTTTCAAGAATAGGCTAAGTTACTAAGCGGAATGTACTTTTAGTTTATAATTTCTAGGAAATCAATTTAATAAATCTAGATTTAAAATTAGACACATTCATGCTACTAGTGATTTGCATTAGTAATGCATATTATTTATTCTAAAAGTGCTCCGTATATAATTGGATATCGAGTTATGTGCATACAAAAACATTTCCGTTTGGGAATCCTCTGTAAATAACTGTATTCTCAGGCCGATTACCTATAAATTACAACGAGCAGATTTTTTCTAAAGCGGTACTTACATATTCTGAATTTATAATCGGGTTTTGACGTTAATTTTGCGGAGAATTTTTATATTTAAGCATAAATCAAAGTTAATGGACGGAAATCCATTTTTCTAGAATTCAGCATGACTTTGCAATCAGCAAGATAATTCTCTAATGAACCACAAGCTTTTTCTTTGATTATGAACAACCATAAAATAAATAATGTCCCTAGCTCTTTGGAGGGTTCATTAAGGCATGGCTTTCGCTTCTGTGATTTTTCAAATAAACATTGCGTAAGATAAATTAAAAAAAAATAATATATTGATTGTCCTTACAAGAGGAAAAACTTTTATATTATTGAAATTTTGAGAAAAATGCATTTTTCATAAAAAAAATGTTTGCTTGTTCTAAAATTGTTAATCCCGTTTATACTTTTTCAAATGTCCATACAGTTTTAGAGAAAATTATAAAAAAATATGTGTTTCTATGGTAATATAATTTCGATTTCATTCTTTAATAGATGGTTACTAATTTTGATTACCGTCATATTTTTTCTGTCACTAAAGTATCATATTTTCCAATAACTATTATCAGCCTTTCCGTAGAATTGAACTAAATAAATTTTGTGCTACTTTAACATTTTAAAACAGCAAAAAATATAACGTTTATTAAAATTTTATTAATAACAATATATCAAAGAATGAAAACGAAACTATATTATCATAGGACTTCTTACACTTTTCTTAGAAAAATTCAACTATATATTTTCATGTTTTTTTTAATATTTCCTAAAAAGGAAAACGGTGCCCTGCCGCCGCGCCGGCGCCGCGCCGGTGGGGAAGAATGCTTTTTTTTAAATAGAACACCCTGTATATTATTCTATTTTTCGCTTCCTTTCAGATCACTTTACATAATCTTAAGATATTTTTGAATAAATTTTGATGGTTTCAGAGATATTAAGAAATAAATAAAAAAATATTTTTTTAATTTGTTTTTCAAAGAATGAAGAATTGTCCTGAAATCAAAACTATGTTTACTATGTTTTATCGGTGTTTACTTTACTCTGTACTTACTTTGCTATAAATATCTTAAATCATACAGGGTGTTCAAAATTCTACGCCAAACTTTCTAAAATATAAAATAATTTTTCTTCGTTATTTTAAATGGAACACCATGTATCTTATCCTTTTAGTAGATGGAGAATTAACAAATGAACATTTTTTGTATTTAGAGTATTTCAAAATTTTTAACGGCTTCCCACATACTGGCAGTATTATTTCATATGGCTTTTTCAACGGTAAAATACGAGAGAAAAATTACTGGGTGGCTTTGATAAACGTTTGCTATGGAAAATGCCATGTGAAATATAAAACCGCGAATATCTGCAAAATCATTAAAAATTTTGAAATACTCTAAATAACAAAAATGTTTATTTTTTAATTCTCCATTTACTAAAAAAATAATATACAGGATGCTCCATTTAATAAATCAAAGAAAATTTATTTTATATTTTAGAAAGTTTGGCGTAGGATTTTGAACAACCTGTATGATTTAAGATTACAGTATTTATAGCTAAGTTAAGTACAGACCATCTTAAGTAAATACCTAATATAGTTTTAATTTCAGGACAGTTTTTGTATTTTTAATAATTTTTTTAAGAAAAGCTGAAAAATATATATATTTTACTTATTTATGAATATATCTGAAACTATCGAAATATATCTACTCATATCTTAGGATTATGTAAAGTGATATGAAAGGAAGTCAAAAATGCAATAATATATAGGGTGTTCCATTTAGAAAAAATCATCCCAATCTACTCACCTTTTTTTGAGCTATCCTGTAGAAGTTAAAATATTTTCCTGAAATACATCCTAGTACATACTTAAGTTTTTTATTCTAGGAGCTACAGATGCCCGACGCGACGCACCATTGCCGGACCCTGTATAAATTACAATATTTTATTGTAATTTTTAATATATTCGTTACAATTAAAAACATTTATCTGTAATATTCAAAAAAAAATTAAATATAGGGATCCAGATTTTATGAATTTAGTGCGCAAACAAACTCATGGGAGCGCTTCTTGTACTTTCTTTTCATGACATTTAAGTCAAAATCTAAAGGGGGATGCTTTGTGGTATTGTACTATCAAGTGTTTCGTATGTCTTTGTGTGCTAGTGAATTTTTCCACCATCATGTATAAACTAATAAACATAATAGAATAAAAAAGATAAAAAATCATTTTAAATATTCTGCTTAAAATAATTCAGTTAAATCCGAAATACATAAAACAATTAAAAATAATTTAAAGTTATAAATTCAAATCAATCCAGTTCAAATAATCATCATTATTGTCATTACTCGCTGACGAGTATTTGAGACGCATCGCAAGATGGTTACGCAAGGCGTTTTCTATCATGAGTTTTTCTGTGACTGAAAAGCCCAATACGTGATGTTATCTCGCTTCCGCACTCCGGAAATTCAAAATTCTTATTACTTTGTTGTCTTTTTACTTTCTTGTTGTCATTGTTAACTGACTTTAAAATAATTCTTCTCCATTGCATTATGTTGTGCGCTGACATTTCCTACTATCGGATCCGACTATCTGAAACGATTTTGAATCGGACGACTACCACACACTGCCGACAAAATATTTCCGTTGTATATATTTTTATAACTAATTAATAACAAAAGAAGGCTGCACTGAGCAACTCACGCATCAAAACTGACAAAAATAATCGTATGTTTGCCGTACAATATACAAAAATAATGCATAGAACACCTTCCGGCTGTCGGATCAGATTTTTTGTCGGTCCGACCAGTACGGCGCACTGCCAAGCATCCGACTCGGACGTCCGATCCGATATCGGATCGTAAGTGTGCAATATAGTTAAATAACCTATAGTTTATTTGAGCGTCAGATAATCGGATCCGATAATCGTTTCAGACAATCGTATCGAATAGTAGGAAATGTGCGGTCGCCTTTAAAATCTCATTGAAAATATCGTTGTACCTTTTGAGTTGTCCATCCAGTTTCTTCTTACCGTCTACAAGTTTACCGTAAAGAAGAGATTTCGGTAGGCGGTTTTCTTGCATACAGTTCAAATGGACATTACTTAAGATCAAATTTGTAAACTTGCATGTCAGTGCCCTTATTAAATAATTTTATTTCAACAAAACTCTTGATACATATACCAAATGTACTTTTTTTTGTTAATTATTTTTTTAGGTCTTAATATTGTCTTAAACAAAAAGAATACCAATTTTTATTCAAGAATATCAATATTTGCATTGCATTTCTTTTAACCACTTGGACGAGCCACCATGCAAACATTTATACATCTTAAAAAGTCCTTTGCAAACGTTAACAGAGCGCTCAAAAGCGGGCAAAAACAAGTATACGTTTATATTCGCAAAGAGGATAAACAAAATTCTCCGTGCTTTTTCACATGGATGTCTTAATGCATAAATTTTCATCCTCTTCGCTGGAAGCTTCTCGAATTAAAAAAAAGCTACAAAAAAACTACATTAACAGCAAATTGACGTCATCAAAGGTCTACATAAACCGGTCCATCCTCCACTGGAGTTTATTTGAATTTTGAGCTTCGAACCAACCACATCAAGTTTGTTAACAAACGAAATACCAATTTAAGTAGTTTTTATCAGTGTTTTTAAAAGAAAACAATGTATACCAATCCTTTCAGTCGTACTCACAGCCACGTGCGTCAAGTGATCGACAAATTCCTCTACATTCATCATGGCAAAAGCGTCAAATATGTCCATTCTGCATCAGACAGTTCAAGCAATGGGCAATGTTCGTCGAAAAAGCATGTGAATAACAATTGTGCCAGGTTTTCTGTGGTTAAGTGACCCCTCCCAGTTGAGAGCATTTTGGAAAATGGATATATTTGATGGATGGTTGCCATCATAGATGGTATGTTATATTGATTTTTAGCTTATTCTATCGTAGATTTTTATACGAATTAAAAACACCAAACCAATGATGTAGAAAATAAATACTCCTCAAATATTTAGAAAAAAATTCTCTCAGATTTTCTCTTAAGACTTTCAATCCACTTTTCCTCATTAGGTGGCAAGTATTTTTAAACATATACGGGGCGCGTCAAATATATATTTAAACAAAAATTGTACAACTAAATAGAAGTTGTACTGATATGAAGTTTTTTTGAATCACTGAAAAACATTATATTTCTATATTTACAACAAAACAAAACAAAATAGCAAGTTCTGTTTTATACACTATTAGAAGCTATTTTATTAGTCAAATTAAATAAAAAAGCGAAAAACTAATAATTTATGCGATATAAAGTTTAAATTAACGCATATAAAAAATATAACTAAGTGATTAAAATCCTTATTTGATTGTTGAATATAAAATGTATTAAAAATATCACATTTTATAATTATTACATAAAATATACAAGAAATAAACTGGAATAGAATAATAATGTAAATAACAGAATGAAAAAACTAAAAAACTAATTAAAACTGATTGTTTAAATAAATAATATACACTAATATACAGGGTTTGTATACAAATGCATATGTATGTATATACAATATGTCCCCAGATTGTCTTTATATTACAATAGGAAAAACTTTTTATTATTGAAAATTTTCGAAAATATTTGCTCTTTTAAATGTTAAGGAAGCACAAAATTTATTTTAATTTTTTAATTTAGCTGATAATAATTTTCGGATAATGTGAAACTTTAACAACAGCAATTAATATGACATTAATCAAAACTAATAATTAAAGTATGAAATCGAAATTATATTACCATAGAAACGCCTATTGATTTTAAGGACTTCATTCAAATTCAACCATATTTTCATGTTTTTTTTTAATTTTCTCTAAAACGGTATGGAAATTTGAAAAAGTATAAACGGGATTAACCATTTTAGAACAAGCAAAATTTTATATGAAAAATGCATTTTTCTTAAAATGTCAATAATAAAAAAGTTTCTCTCCTCTTGTAAAGACAATCTGTGGACATACTGTATACAAAGTGTAATTTATTTTATTAAAGCTTCAAGTAGGATGGAGTTTGCAGGTGGTCGTATTACGATGTGCAACGAAAGTTATTTTAATTACCCTATACATACGGATGTCATTGAAATGGCGTAAAAAAAATCGTGGGGTACTAAAAATAGTAAAAAAAGTTCTATAAGTATAGGGTGGAAAATGCATATTAAGGGAGTTAGGGGCACTGAAACTGTGAATTTAATAAACGGTTGTTATAAAATTATTGTAGGCTTAAAAAACGAGAAAAAACTTCGCAAAAAAATCCTCTACCATAAATTTTGACCCTAAATCAATAATCCAATATATCTGATCTTCTCCTCCACGATCTGCGTACCCTGTGGAATATCCTTGGTGTTGTCCGAATTTGACTGGAACAGAACTTTGAAATAGAACATAATGCGTTGCCGCAGTTGCTCTTCAGTATTAATCGCCATTGAGTAAACCCAAAAAAGTTTATTTCGTTTTTAAAGCAATACTATGTTTAAAATATCATGAAATTTATGATTTTCCAATTAATTATTTAATAACTACTTGGTTACTTTTTAACCGCCATAACTTTCATAAGTTTATATTGATTAACCAGTTAGCAACCCATCAGAGCAAACTATTTGACTTCAATTTTCTCGAAAACCATCGCTCTGGGCGATGTGCAACAAGAATACTTTTTTGTAGGCTAAAGTATGTAGTTTTGAAAAAAACAAACCCACGTTGAAAAAAAAATAACCTCAAAAAAGTTATTCGCGAAACAACCCCCTACCCTTGCAAAAACTACCCTTTCTGCTTCTTTTTCCTCCACTTGACTTCAAAAGACACAAAACACACGGAATAACACGAATCAAAATGCATCATCTTCCAAAACGCAGGGTATTTGACAAAAGTTGTCACAAAATTATAACCTATAATTTGGCAAGACTTTGACAAGCGTCAAAAATCTAAAGGCGAGTTCATACGCATCGGCGTCCGTTTGTCGTTCATCGTTCCGTCAAACCAATAAAATTGAAATACGATCTGTCATATTTGAAATAAACCAATAAAACTGGTTAAAAACAACAAGAGACGACGTATGACGGATTTATATTTAAACCCATCCATAGTTAACTTAAAAATTATTACTAACTTTTTTTAGTAAAATAAATAGATTGGTATGGGACGTCATATGCTTTTTTCTGTCATCGTCTGTCGAAATCTTACCTGAGAAAAAAAAACAGAGTATACGTTCATGTGTTTTAAATTATAAGCTCTCTGTTGTAAGCTCTCCGCGCGCTGTAACAAGTTTGTGTAGTCAGTACGTTGCGCCGAACCGAACCGAACGCGCCAAACATTTTCCGAAGCTTGTCGGTAAACGGGATTTGCTCAAAAGAATTTGTTCGTTGGCCGGTGTTCAGTGGATACGGCAGTTTTAAACGTTCGTTGTGTTTGGGCTGTTTTTAAACTGTACCTAGCTATGGAGTGGAACAGAGAAAAGTGTTTAGAGTTAATTGATGGGTTTGAAAGGCAGCCTATTTTATTAAATTAATAATTAATTATTAAATTAATTAAATTCTTCTTATGCATATAATATAGGTCACTAAGTAAGGCCATATTATATTGACGGAGCAAAAAGAAGCGTCTTGCCTACATTTTTCGTCCTTTCCTTTTTTCTCTTTTTTGTTACCCGCTAATGCATCTATAATTAAAAAAGCACCAGCGGCTATGGTAATATCAGATTCCAAATAATTTTTCAGTATCACCATTTGCTTTAGGGTCAAAATTTATGGCAGAGGATTTTTTTTCGAAATTTTATCTCGTTTTTTAAGCCTACAATCTCAAAACAACCGTTTTTTAAACTCACGCTTTCAGTGCCCCTAACTCCCTTAATATGCATTTTCCGCCCTATACTTAAGGGAACTTTTTTTTACTATTTTTAGAAGTACTATCACCACCCGATTTTTTTACACCATTTCAATGACACCCGTGTATTTCTTTAATTTCATAATTTTACTCCCAAATTCACAAAATTACCAATATCATCATTAACAAGTACTAAAAAGCAGATTAAAGCTTTTTGTTGCAGAATATGTGGGTTTTACAATCTAATGATAAAGACATAGATTTGCCTAATTATTACAAAAGTTCATCGTCTTGTTTTATGTTGCTTTTTACTAAAAGTTTGACAAATTATAAAATATTTTAAAATAAATATAAAATTGAAAATAATTATAATTGTGGGTATCTTAAAAAATAAATCTAATTTTTTTACAGATACATGTAAAAATAAGTAACAATTTTTGAAAATTTTCCGTTTCAAAAAAATTATTTGTTTGTCTATAATATTTTATATGTATTTGTTTTTTCCTAGTTACCGTCTATTTTCTAGTCGAATAAAATTATAAGATTAAATTATCTAGGAGAAATATTAAAAATGTATATCTAGAGACATAATGAGGTAGAATTTTTTTTAGAATTTAGAATGAGTGGGAGGGGGGTTAATCACTTATATTTATATGAATAATAGGTAGTACAAAACTATGTATTTAAATATAATTAAAAACTGGTACCCTGAGATATTAGTTTCATTAAATGTTACTCTGACGTCAATCAAATTGTCTGTGAGAATATTAGTATTTTTAAAAATAACTTTCAATAGTTAATTATCATCTATTATTATTTTTTTTTATTTTAATAGAAAATTAATAATTGAAATTAAATTTGAACGTATTTGTATTTTAATAGTATAAACATTATTTTTAACTATTTTTTTTTCTTGTTTCAGATTTATTGATGGCCATTCTTCAGCTATAACTCGACAATAGATAGGAGCCGCAAGGGAGAAGCAAGCTAAACATTACCATGCTTCATACGCTTTTCAAATTCTACAGAAAATAAAATAAAATACTAAAATTACGGTTTATTATACATTATTATTAGTAAAAATAAAATATTTTTATGCATATAAAACAGTTTGTTTTAGTTTTTTCAAAGAATAGTGCTGTTTGATTATTATCCCTCTAACATAAACTAAGGTAGTTTATCCTCTAATACCCTGTGAAGAAGATAGATAGATAGATACTTCTCAAAGAAGGAAAATACATGAAGACTTCATTTCCATTATTTTTCTCCTAAGTTAGTATTTACAGATAGATAAATTAAACCAAGTAAACTGGATAACTGGTACATCTTTTTTGCTAATAATTTAAGCTTGTTACTGCGCGAATTCTATGAAGGTCATATAATAATTTTTTTCTGTTATAATATTTCCTTTAACCTTAATTGATGTCGAACATCTTAATTATTTATGAAAGCTGTTGATATTCATTAACACACGCGTGTCTAAAAACCATGTTTATTTAGTATTAAATTTGATAGTAATTCTAGTGAAATGTCATAGAAATAATAGAAGAAATTAAACTAAATAAATAAACTTTAAAATATATTAATGAATATTATTACTATTACGAACACCCTCAAAACGAAAATTCCACTTCTCCAACTCCCAGTGGATGACATACCAAGAATTTATAACTTTGAGAAACACCTCATTGTAGTATTGAGTTATAAAAAGGATTGGAAGAAAGAAACTCGTACTCAGCATATAACAGACCATACCATAGCGTGATATACTGATGCTTGCAAAACCAAAGCAGGGACAGGGATAGGAGTATTTGGGTCGAAAACTAAATACTCCGAACCAATGGGCACCTACCCCAGTATCCTTCAGGCAGAAATTTACGCTATCGAAAGATGCGTACAATTTATCTTAGATAAGAACTATCGAAAACAGGAACTATCGAAAACATCAAGCAGCACTTAACGCGATCAACTCAGTAACCATCAATTCGAAGTTGGTCAAAGAATGCCTAGAGAAGCTCAACAAATTAAGCAAAGAAAATAAAGTCCTCCTACTCTAGGTGCCTGCTCACCAAGGGATAGAAGGCAATGAAAAAGCAAATGATGTAGCTAGGAAACGAGCAGACACTCCACTAACTGGACCAGAACCGTTCTGTTTTCCAAACGGGAACCAACTGAAAGCGGAACTGAAGAATCTGGAAGACTCATGTAACTTGGACATATGTAACTTGGAATGGGTGTCCTCCAACGGTCTAAGACACTCGAAAAAGTTCCTCAGAACTTACGACCGAGAAAAATCAAAGGTTTTCTTTGTATTGTCACGGGGTTTCTAACAGGATACTGTCGCCTCAACGAACACCTCAGTAGGCTGAAGCTGAGAAACAACGGCGAATGCAGATTCTGTGGGGAAAATGGGGAAACACCAGAACACCTTATCACTGAGTGCACCGAGACGACGACCATTTGTGCCATGAACTTTGGTACGGTTGATGTTAAGGATGTGGCCTCTGTTGGCCGTCTCAGATATTGGCTTTTGTTAAAGCTCTGAGACTGTATGATGAGTTATAACTCATTATAACTATAAGATCGCGGTGATTAACTCCCCTCCTAAACATTCTACATTCTACATTATTACTATATTCAAGAATGAGCTGCGATAGAAAATATTTTATAAATTGTCCTTTAAGAAAAAATATTATTCTTGAAAGTGGTATAGACAATGACGAATTTTGAAATAAAACGTCAGGAATGTCACTGCAAGAAAATCACATTTTATACCGTGAAGTAAATGCTAATTCATCCAATTTATTATATTAGAAAAATATATCTAAAATAATGGCAGAAACTATTCTTGATATATTTATAATGGAAAAGCATGTTTTACGATATATTTCTATGTTTATTTAATGGTACCAAAAACTCACTTGTGGTACTTAAGTGGAATTAAGCAGTTTTTGTTCTAATCGTGCTAATTGTTGACATTTGAACAACGTAATACAGCAGAACTTTTTCTTGAAGGAAGCTATAGATCCTTTTGTCGTTTTCGGGAAAAATTAATATTTACAATAGTAAAGAAGATTCTATCCTTTTAGTCTGCATGCTAAAGTTTCTTAAACAAAAAACAGAAAAGATCCAGTGGTCTTAAAATTTAAGCAAAATATTTTTTTTTATTAGAAATTTTCAAAGTGTCTCGATTATTATGGACTTGATTTAAGATTCACTCTGTATATCTTCAGAGTGAGTCTTAAAAAAGTCCAATTACATGACCGGTATATTTCGATAAAAGAAACATATTTTCTCTTTACCGTTTTTTATATAAGTCTAAAATAACCCAGATATATTATTTTAAAAATTTCAAAAAAAAATTGAGAGCGGCTGGACATTTCTCTCTTGTAAACTTAAGCTACTATCGAATACATTTTTAATTTTTTTTCTCCAAAAATTCCACAGTTTCATTTTTTCTGCGAAAAAGCCCTCATAGATATTTGGGTCAAAATATACCACCTATAAAAATATTTGCACTTATTTAAAACTCACCCTGTATATATGTATATTCATTTTAATAAAAGAAATATCATATCATTGTACTTTACTCCTCGCTATATTTATAAATAATTTACAAAAAACAATCATGTTTCTTAAATGAACATATATATTTATTTAACTTTACTATACAGGGTTCGGCAATAGTGCGTCGGGCATCTGTACCTCCTAGAATAAAAAACTTGAAAATTTTGTTTAAGTGTAAATCTAAAGTATGTACGAGGATGTATTTCAGGAAAATATTTTAAATTCTATAGGGTAGCTCAAAAGAGTGTGAGTGGATCGTGATGTGTTTTTTTAAATGGAACACCCTGTATATTATTGCATTTTTGGCTTCCTTTCAGATCACTTTACATAATCCTAAGACACGAGTAAATATATTTTGATAGTTTCAGAGATAAATATTAATAAATAAATAAAAATTATAAATTTTTGAGCTTTTCTTAAAAAAATTATTAGTAATACAAGAACTGTCCTGAAGTCCAAACTATATTAGGTATTTACTTTAGATGGTCTGTACTGACTTTGCTATAATTATGGAAATCGTAAATCATACAGGATGTTCAAAATTCTACGCCAAACTTTCTAAAATATAAAATAATTTTTCTTCTTTTTTTTAAATGGAACACCCTGTATATTATTTCTTCAGTAGATGGAGAATTAAAAATGAACATTTTTTGTATTTAGAGTATTTCAAATTTTTTAACGGTTTCGCAGATATTCGCGGTATTATATTTCATATGGCATTTTCCACAGTAAATTTTTATCAAAGCTAGGTACCCAATGATTTTTCTCTCGTATTTTACCATTGAATGCGCCATATAAAATAATACTGCGTGTATCTGCAAAACTATTAAAATTTTTGAAAAACTTTAAATACAAAAAATGTTCATTTTTTAACTCTCCATATAATAAAACAATAATATACAAGGTGTTCTATTTAAAAAAACAAAGAAAAACTATTTTATATTTTAGAAAGTTTGGCGTAGCATATTGAACATCCTGTATGATTTACGATTACCATATTTATAGCAAAGTAAGCATAGACCATCTAAAGTAAATACCTAATATAGTTTCGATTTCAGAACAGTTCTTGTATTTTTAATAATTTTTTTAAGAAGGGTCGAAAAATATATATTTTTGATTAATTTTTTAATATCTCTGAAACTACCGAAATATATTTACCCATATCTTAGGATTATGTACAGTGATCAGAAAGGAAGTTAAAAATGCAATAATATACAGGGTGTTCTATTTAAAAAAATTATCCAAATCCACTCACACTTTTTTGAGCCACACTATAGAAGTTAAAATATTTTTCTGAAATACATCCTGATACATACTTTAGGTTTGCACTTAAACAAAATTTACAATTTTTTTATTCTAACAGCTACAGATGGACCCTGTATACATGATCGGTATAATAGTTGACAATACAACCACATGATGTCATAATACATATCTTTTAATATATAATTGTGTTTTATATACATATAATTTTCATAACTATTCCAACACAAGCCAATCCAAGTTCCTCCACTTAAGAGGTTTGAATTCCAATCTGAGCACCATAAGGAAATTTCAGATATTTCTGTAACAATAAAAACATTTTTTTATTAACATATTTAATAATTTTTAACCATTTTCAATTATGGTGTAGCCTCCCTCACAAAGAGAGTACGCGAGGGAGGCTACACAATAATTGGAAATGGTTGAATAAGCTGACAATGATGATGATGATGATGACTCAATAATTTTATTTAAAAAATATTTCTATTAACTAAAGTGAATAAAAGTGAGTACTGAAACAAGTAATAATAACAAAACACTTACTTTTAACCCATGAACTCCATTTCTCAACATAGATCAAATATCATAGAGCAGCAACAGTACTTTATACTCATTTCACTGACCAAATCATCCTGGCGTTATTCTTCATGAATTTCTTAGAGCTGCTATCGTTGGAACACATGGAATTATTGGATGAATATCTGCTCATACTTTTCTGGTCTTTTTCGTGATTCACTTGGAAGAATTTGTCGATGACCTGACGAATTCGGCTGTGCGTACGACTGAACGGATTTGTGTACATTTTGATTAATAATTTTATTGCAATGACACACACTACACTCTTAAAATTTTTACTAGGGTTAAACGATTGCCGCTTTTCGTGAGAGAAGTTTTAACAATAAACTGGTAAAAGCATTGGTTGCAGCTTGTTTATATGTATAGAAGCAGCCTGTTGCTAACGTCATGGTCAATGCCAAAGGCTACAGTCGAAGACAGACGTCAATAAAAATAGTAGAAATAATATTAATGATAGGTATACATAACAGTCTATATGTTTTTCTTGTATTGTTTAATTGAATTATTACATGTTGGTTTGTTATTCTGAAAACCAATTAGAAAGATCTTTTAATGTGTATTGCTATTAAGTAGTAGCAATAATATAATTAATATTTAGTAAATCTTTAGTACAGGCTACATAATTTAAAAAAAATATATTTACAGTCGTTTGGGGTGAAATTGATCATAAGAAAAAGTTTTTAGCCGAGATTTGGTAATTGTGTAAAATTTTATTTTTGTAAATGAGTTTTTTCGATACATGTTAGTGATGGGAATAACACCAAATAATCAGAAAATTTGAAAAAAATATATTAAAGGCCTGGAACGAACAAAATGTCCTGAACAATCTCATACTACGTGTGGGGTATGATTGATCACGTTTTATTTAATGCATTGAATAAGCGTATACCTACATAGAAACTGATTAATCTAACCCCTGTCTATTTTAAAGTCATGGTTTAAATTTTATAGGATTTTTTAGCAGGGCCTATTTTACCATAAGGCCCATAATGGTGTCTGGGGGGTCCGTTAAAGGTTGTAAAATATTCATAATTTCAAATATAAATTTACACAGCAGAAAAAAAACAGTTACCTCTGATAAGGAAAATAGAATTAAATGAAATAAGCTTTAGATTGATATAATTAATGCATTTTTTAAAATTATTTATAAATTTATATCAAAGATACCGGCACCGGCGATTCCCCAATCTAAAAATAACGTTTTATTTTTTTAACCCAAACTAACAAAAGAATTTTTGAATTTTATTGGAAAAGAGGGCCCGAATTTTTGCTTGGGCCTTAGAGCCCGACCAGATGAAAAATAGGCCCTGTTTTTTAGCATTTGGGGTGAGATTGTTTGGTTGAATAATAATGATTGCTGCGATGTGAAAAAATACAAGATTAGATTTTCAAACTAAATATTTATTTTCTGAATCAAAAACAAGAAAGAAATACCAACAGTTTATTCTTGTTTTACCACAAACCACAATTGACTCGCAGGGTGAGATTGTTCACGGGGTGAGATTGATCATTCAATGATCAATCTCGCCCGTACTAAGCGATTAATCTGACCCCTTCGAACAAATTAAAGTATAACCTCATAATAGAGAGTTACCTAGTATAACCTCATAATAGAGAGTTACTTATCGGACCGTTTGCAAATGGTGAGGTTAAATAATCAAACCTTAAGCGACCAACAAAAAATTAAAATTGGAATTCCACAAGGAACACTGTTAGGACCAATACTTTTTGTACTATATATAAACTCCTTATTAAAACTATCTATCAATCGTCTAACTATATCTTACGCAGATGACACAGCCCTGGTTGTTTCGGGAGATAGCTGGGAAGATGTAAAAACTAAAACAATAGATTGTTTGACAAAAGTAAAAATATGGCTTCAAAATTACAAATTAACATTGAATTTAGAAAAAACCAAATACATAGCGTTCTCACTCACAAGGGCAAACAGACCACAATATAGCACCATTGCAATTGACGATTATTCTATTAAAGAAACTCCATCAATAAAATATCTTGGAATTGTGATTGATACATTTTTGAAGTGGCAACCTCATATTGATTACATATCCAGGAAAATTCGTAAATTAGTTCATAAATTTTACCTTTTGAGAGACTTTCTAAATAAAAACATCCTAATTATGATTTATAAAGCTCTTGTGGAATCAATAATAAGGTATGGTATTTTGGTATGGGGAGGGCTTTATGAAAGCAGCTTATATAAATTAAATATAATACAAAAATATATTTTAAAAATAATTTATAGAAAAAACAGACTTTTTCCTACACACTTGCTATTTGATAGGGAAACTGTTAATGTTAGAACAATTTACATTTTCACAGTTTGTTCTTATATACATTCTCGAGCTGATTTAAAACCTCTAATCGACCATTCTTATGAAACCAGAACTCGACAAACTAAACAAATCAGATTACCAATGAGTACCAATAACCTTAATTTAAGGTATGTTACTTATTTCGGGCCTAAGCTATATAATTTGTTGCCATTGGAGGTGAGAAATTTTGTGAAACTGAAACAAGTTAAATTATTAAGCAAAAATATAATATATGGAAACTACAATCAATTTGAAAGGTATTTTGTCTAACTGTGGTGTACTATTTTTGTAAATCACTTTATTTAAGTATGTTTAATGGTTGTATATCTTGGTCATTCTTTTATTTTTTGGACAGCTTATTTTCGCTAGCACCTTTTTTTTACCACTTATTTTGATTATGTAAAGTTTTGATATTATGGAATATCCTTTAAAATAAAATAAAGTTTCATTATACCTTTAAAGCACATACAGATGTTACACATCTAGGTACTTCATCCTATAGATAATATTTAGAATAATATTTGTTAAATATCAAATAGTATATCATAGCTTCATTCAGTTGTATTATTATTATTATTAAATATAATATTATTATTATTATTATTATTATAATTATTCACGATCGGAAATAACTAAATTTCGGAATATGACTTGCAGAAACATTAACAAATAGCGCCATGTAATCAATGTGTTCGTTACTATATCAGAATTTGACTTACAAATCAAAGTTCTAGAAGTTTGGTTTGGTTTGGTTCTAGAAGTTGTAAATGAAAGCAAAAACACTTAAACAATTTGAATGTATTTTTTTGACCAAAAACAGCGATTTAACGACGTGACCTGTACAGGGTGGGTCAAATTCGAAGCTTTTAAATGGAAACACCCTTTTCTATAGGAGATAGACGAAAACTAATATCGGTGTCTGGAGCTCAATTTTCATCAAAAACATGATGGTGAAAACCGCACATCGATATCTGTTACCGTTTCGGAGTTACGGGGTGTTTTTCAAAAATATGCATTTTAACAAATCGTTGTAACTTTTTGCTATGGAAAATTTTGTATTTCTATGAAAACATTTCCAAAGCACCTTTTTACGTAGAATTTAATGGTTTAAGTATAATTTTTTTAAAATTAATAATTTAAGAGTTATCAACAGAAAAATTGATTTTTTATTTGGGACACCCTCTATATTTTTAATTAACAAAAAAGAATTTAAAATTGTCTTTTCAAAAATATAGCACACTTGATATTTTGTTATAATCCCCTTCGAAATACAGAATTTTTAAAAGTTCGCCACTTTTAAAAATAGCATAGTAGGCTTTGAACCCCTTATTGATGATATGCCCTTAATGGAACTCGAAAACATATTTTTCCAGCAAGACGACGCACCGTCTCTGAACGCTGAAGTTATCAGCAAATTTTTGCAGCCAATTTCATGAATAATTGAATAGCTAACCAAGATCCCAGCCGTTGGCCGTCGAGGTCGCCTGACTTAGCGCCCATGGATCTAATCATATTGATATATTTGCAGAAGAATAAATGTCCCTTATTTTTCGGTATAATTTAGACAAGAATTAGAAATACTTAGCAGTTATGAGAGGGTATCTTTCACCCCCACTGAGTTAATGAATTCCGCGAGAAATGTTCAAAAACTGCCACGTCTGTCCATAACAGAAGACGGTTGATATGTCGAACACCTGTAGCAAAATCTCATCTCTTGGTTTGCTAATTATTTTTATTGTTATTAGATATAGTTTAAATGTGTTGATGTTGGTTAAATATATTTTAAATTGTTATAAAATTCTCTATCTCTCATTGCAAATATTATTTTCGTTTTAACTGATGCTCACAGCTAGAATGATTTTGTATTACAGCCGGTGCCGTTCAAAGCCTATACTTATTTAAAGCGGGCGAATTTTTATATACTCTATATCTGGAAGAGGAATCGAGCAAAATCTCAAGTGTGTTATATTTTTGGAAAGGTAATTTTAAATTCTTTTCAATAAATTAAAAATATACAGGGTGTCCCATATATAAAATCAAATTTTCTGGTGATAATTCTTAAATTATTAATTTTTAAAAAAATATACTTAAACCATTAAATTCTACGTAAAAAGGTGCTTTGGAAATGTTTTCATAAAAATACAACATTTTTCATAGGAAAAAAGTTACAGAGATTTGTTAAAAATGCATATTTTTGAAAAACACCTCGTAACTCCGAAACGGTAACAGATATCGATATGCGGTTTTCACCATCATGTTTTTGACAAAAATTGAGCTCAGACACCGATATTAGTTTTTGTCTATCTCCTATAGAAAAGGGTGTTTCCATTTAAAAGCGTCGAATTTGACCCACCCTCTACACATTCCCTTAGGTCATATTTCTACTAAACACACTTGGCGGTACATTAAACGAACCGACGCGCGACGATTCGCGCGCTACATTTCAATTAATAAAAATGCAACCTAGTGATCAGTCTCACCCCCGGAGATCAATTTCACCCCAAACGACGGTATCAAAACAATAAATGGTTAATGTAAATGTATAATAATCAATGATTGCATGTTATTTTAATATACAGTATGTAACCGGATTGTCTTTACAAGAGGAAATACTTTTTTATTATTGGCATTTTGAGAAAAATGCTTTCTTCATAAAATCTTTTGCTTGTTCTAAAATGGTTTATCCCGTTTATACTTTTCCAAATTTCCATACTGTTTTAGAAAAAATAAAAAAACATGAAAACATGGTTGATTTTTTTTCTAAAAATGCCCTATAGTCTCCTATAGATCAAAAGGCGTTTCTATGGTAATATAATTTCGATTTCATTTTTTGATAGATGCTTATTAATAATTTTGATTAACGTCATATTTTTGCTGTTGTTAAAGTATCATATTTTGCGATATCTATTTAATATCTATTTAATCTATTATCACCCTATACGGTAGTATTGAAATAAATAAATTTTGTTCGTTTTTAACATTTTAAAACAGCAAGA